CAACAAAAACAACAACAAAAAATGCATCGAGTATGATTTTTGATTTTGATTTTTTATTGCACTTATTTTTATTTATTATTTATTAACTCGTTTGCTTTTGCTTTTACTAGCGCTGCCTCGGCCACTCTTCAGCGTTTTCATCTCGTTTTGCTACGCTTTGCTTGGCCGGTTTTGCAATTTGCTGTCGATCGAACGATTATGCGGCTTTCACTATTGCAAGCCATTGAAATAGACACAAAGCGAGTAAGAGTAGAATGCGAAAAAATGCTGTTATTTTCCGCTGCGTGTTTCGTAGAAAGTAAAACATAAATTTCGCATGCAAATTTTGCAGTTTTATTTATGCAAATCACTGATAATAACGGTTGGGTGTTAGAAGCACATTTCGCCATAATTTGGCAGATCTGCAATTATCTGGAGTGCTTGCTAAAGAGTAATCTCTGCTAAACTTGCATACTCACTTTTTATATTTTCGCAATTTAAATGCAAAATTTGCACAAATTTACATATGTGTATCGCCATATATGTATATATATCTATATAATTTGCGTGCACTCAACAACAACAAAATGCATTAAAGCACATTAATTTTTTTTTACTGGTTTCATAAACGCAATAAATTGCAGCATTGCACCTCCCCGAAGGTCGCCCAAGCAATTTAATATCTACAGCCGTAGCTGCCATTTCATAACGGCGATACGTTATAGGGAGACGCACTTGTTTTAAATTGACCAGATTCAGTGCACTACAATACCAAAACTAGTACGTTATCTCTGCACGAACTTTCTCTAGTTTGGAACTAGTATCAAGTAGGATGAAATTCGAAAGGCGATAAGGAGAAGAGAAAGCACACATTCATTGATCTAGATTCAATGTTCACTTTTTGTGACCTGGTGCTTACTTTTATTGCAGTGGTTATATGCTTTTGTAGCGGACCCTGTTTAGAGAACAAGACGCAAGTTATGTTGGTTGTCATCGAAATCATCTGACAAAAGGCGTGCTGTTTCGCCAGGTCGAACCAGAGAAGTGTATTAGATGAGTCTGATTCATTAAACTTGGATATGTAAGTAGTAGTGATTATCTAAACGAATGGACTTGCTGATTGATAAAAGATGATATAATTTTGCAATTCACTAAAATAAAACTAAATAAATGAATTATTCCGTTAACATCTCAACCCCCCTTATGAATCAACTCAACACATTTTGGTTAATGTTTCGGGTATGAAGCGTACAGAAGCTGAGCTCTTACCAAAATACCAGGGTTTTTTGCAAAAATGAAGTAGAGAGAGAAGCAAAAGAGATGTTTGACAACATAGCTGATTAGTGGGCCGAGACGTGGGTTTATGAATATGATGTCGAAACTGTCCAAGAATCTAGCGAAGGCACTAAAAAAATGAGCCGAAACTAAAATAAAAAAAACAAATTTTGCTGAAGACACTAAAGGCGATCCCAGCCGAGGCTTATAACAAGTTTATGGAAATTTACTAAAACATTGGCATGCATGTACTTGTATTGGTTCAGGAGCTTTTTTTTTTGAAGATGATAATAAAAATTTGTATCAAAATACGTAAAAAATGTGTTTTTATTTTGCCAGTCCGGGTCAAATTTGATCAGATGGTAATAGTATTGGATAGGTTATTTCAATGAGTACTACATACATATGGTGAGAAAATTGTTTACAATTTTTGTAATTAAATACAGACTATCTAGAAAGGAGTGCTGGGTAAAAAGGGAGCTAAGAGGATTTTAAAAATATATGCAACATATTTATGCATCCTTCGAAAAAAATGTCAGTAATGGCAAGTCAAGTGGAAAATTCTTACGTTTTCTTTACTAAAGTCGAATTGATAAGCTAAATCAATTCTTACTAAAACAACCTTTTCAATCAATCCAATGACAAGACAGTTAGCATTGACTTTTAAAGAACTCCTCGTCAAAATTTATATTTTGCAATCAAATAAGATGCAGATTACGAATCATGCCGGTACCTAATATACTTTGAATGGGCAAGAAGTTATTTAGAGACACACTATTCGCTCAAATGTTCCAGTTAGAAATCTTCGAATTATTTTCATTGATCTCAAAGAATCTTAGCTTTTCCTGGTCTTTTAAATCCAAATAGCCTTAAAACAACTTTACTGCATGTGTATACTCGTAGTTGTTGCTTTTATCTTGCATATGCTTTACATTTTCGTTATTTCTATTGTATATTCTAATATCTACATTTTATCTTCAAGTCAGTTGATTATTACAAATTGTCGAGTCTTCAAACCAGTTTGAAGCATTCTACAAATCTCTACAGGACACAAACGAGAACATTTCTCCACATGGTACTTCATGACGCTGCTTAAAGCTTGCTTATGGAAAATTTATAACCGATTATTTTCTACAGCCAAACCATTGCCAGCCATTGCAACAAGCAACTGAAGTAGGAGCCGCCGCAACACCGCAACACGCCATATAGCACAACAACAAGGACAGAAACAGTGTTACACACAACCAAACATATGTAAGATTGTTGGAAAATCTCCTTGGGATTTTCCTTAGTTCTCAGTCTCAGTTGTAGCGTGGCTTCTTGTCTTTATAGCGTTGCAGCAGCTTGCCAACTGTGCATTACGCGCAACGAACACACACGTGCAGCATGCAGCCACAATGCGATATATAGAAAGTCAGCGTTACATATTTATATAAAAGTTGCTGCATGCACATATACGTATGTATGTATATTTATCTGCAGAATCATGTCTTCTTATGGGTTCCTGCGGTTGTTGGCAAGCAACTGGCTGGGTGCACTTTCAATATGGAAGTTACTGCGCGTCTACGGTTGCCTTTAGTACTGCATATGGTATGTACTCGTATGTGTGTATGTGTGGTATTCCCCCACTTTGGTTTTATCTCGGTTTTAAGCATTTTCATTTGACGGCAGCAATTTTGCAACGAAAAGCGTTCGCCAATGCCGCAAGTTGTGTTGTCGATCTTAAAGTGATTATGCAATTCAACATTTCAACACTTCAATACGAAATTTTTTTGTAAGTAAAATAGATATGCAACTACTTCAACTTCTTAAATTTAGTGCAGAAAATGTCGTTAAAGAATGTGGAAGTTATGTGCTTTCAGACACCAACATTTAATTCTGATGTGGGTAGCGTTTACTTTATAGTGAAGACAAACGATGTGTGAGTCTCCATAACATATATTTCAGGAATATTAATAAATATAATATATATTAGATAGAATATAGTAGATAGATATATATTATAGAATATTTTTTTCGTCAGACTTTTCGAGAGTTTGATTACAAAGAAAAAGTAAGACAATACAAGTATACCGTTAAATCTCAACTATTTAATTGCAAAGCTAAATTAAACCTTTAAATTGTGCCACAAAGATCAATGAGAAAAAAAATTATATTCCCGCTTCAAAATACGATTACAACAAGTCTTTAAATAAACCCATTAAAGTACAATTACAACAAATTTTACAGACGTTTGCACATTTTTGTCTTTGCACGTCCATTTAGCGACCTATTTGTATCACTTTCATTTGTACTAATTGAATTAAAGGTGTTAATGCTCTCAGTTTCCTTCTTTTTCATTCTTTTTTATTGCTCACATTTACAGAAACAAATACAAATGTCATAAAAACAGGGTAACCAAATCAAATCGGAGTACAGATAGGAGCCGTTAACTACTGTAGACAGGAAATGGCGCTGGAATTACGAACCTACGTCATCACAAGTTTTCAGAAATATTAAAAGCAATAATAGTACAGGTTGGTTGAAAAGTTTCTGCGCTCGAAATGAAAAAATACTGTTTTTGGTACGATTGGATTTTGGTACGAAACATATTTTTTATTCAATATAATCTCCCTTAACTTCAATAAACTTATTGCAATGATCCTACAATAATTTTATGCCATCTCTATAATGATTTTCCGAAACATCTGCAAAATACCTGTCAACGGCTGTAATAGCTTCTTCATTCGACGAAAAACGCTTTCCCCGAAGGAATTCTATCAGGTTTCTGAAGAGGTAGTAGTCGCTGGGCATCATATCTAGTGAATACGGTGGATGCTCAAGCAATTCGTACTTTAATTCGTTGCATTTTGTCATTGTTAAAACATTCTTATACGCGAACTGGACCCTTAGTTTTTGAGTTATCAATCTGAAATTTTGCACATGTCCTTTTTCCGGCAAGAAACTGCTCATTTGTCGGGAACGCAGATATCGAACCACTATAAGATGTAGTTGACATACAAACAGAGGGATCAAAATCAAGTTCTTATATGACAAACTTATATTTGACCAGATTCCTTCATCAAATTATTTGGATTATTATTCAAGGCAGCGCTACAATTTCTGAATACATTGTTCCGATGGGACTACTATAGCATATAGCTGTCATACAAACTGATCGATCAAAATTAAGATAAAGATCTTTTTATGCCCTTTTATGCTACCTTTAAAGAGTATACACATAAGTAGCTTTGGCATGTCGAAGTATACATTTTTCCTCGTTTTAAATTTATTTATTTTGAATTTCACCAATTTTGTAAAGAGAATAGGGAAACAATTTTTGGCCTCATCCCACTCGCGTTATAAAAACTTTTTTGATTAAAATTTTATTATATTATTTGATATTTCTGTTCTAATCTAATCTTAAGTGTTATTATATTATTTAATATTTCTTATCTAATCTAATCTAAAGTTTTGACAACTTTAACATCTGTTTTTTCATATAAAAAAATTACCACCGTTCAGAAAACATTTTACTATAATTATATATGCAAATATATATTTTTTTTTGCACTTTAGGAATTAATTTTGTCCTCGCTATCATTTGCATTTACTAATTGTTAGCATAAAGTTCATTGGAAGCACTTAAACCGATATTTCGTCGCTAATTATAAAACATACATATGTATATGTACATATACGTTCTTTATAAATGACCTACAAAAAATATGCACATACATTTGTATATATTTTTTCTGAGTACTTACCATTTGCAGCAAGCATGTTGACAGCATAAAGTGTCGTCGCGTACACGATCCCATGACATAATTATTCCATTAAAAAGTTGGGGACAGAAAATACTATGTGGATATACTGCTTAAAAAGCGCTATCCACTGCCCGCAGGAAGAAGAAGTCAGCAGAGAAAAAATGTGCCACTGCAAATGTTGCAAGTGCGACAATTTCCGTTCTGTTGATGTCGTTTATTTATTACCCAACTAAGATGAACCAACGCTAGGTACGTAGATCTGACTCAATATTCCAAGAAAACACAAAAAGTCGACACAATGTGAAAGGATTAAGTAAGTATGTATATGCACCCAAACACTCAAAAGCAAAGCACAAAGGAGTTGGCGACTTTCACAAGTTACTTAGCACGCTGGCGTTTCCGGCTTGCAAACGTAGGTGCAGCTGGCTATGCAGCTTCGAATTGAAGTGTCCAAAAGTAGGTGCTGCCGTAGTCAGAACTTTTGGCAAATGCTTCTTGTTGGTGGTTTTATTTTTTGTATATACACTTTTTGGTTGGCTGTTAATGTTGCTATTACAGAAACTGCTGCAGTGTAGTTTTTAGTGGTTTTGCATTGGATTTCTTGAAGTCGTGCGCTTTTTGTTGCTTGCGGTGGCACGATTTCACCAAAAAAAAAAAATAGTGGAGAATTACTGCAAAGTCGTTGAACAACTTTGTAAACACAGAATTGCGGTAAAACACTACCGGTTAATTATTATGTTGCAGTTTTTACACTCGAAAACACACTGCAATTACAGAAAAATGCACTAGTATTTATTTAATTTTATTTTTCCATTTACTATAATCTGCTTTGAAATGTTTCTGCACAATTCGTTTTCTCTTGCAACTGTCACTGTTCTCGTTACCCTTTTTTGATCTATGACTTTATCTCACTTCTTTTATTTACACATATGCGCAAATACACATAAGTACATACATACATATATATCGCAATATATGTATGCATGTTGCTTGTAATTACTTTTTATATATCTTCCTGCCTTCCACTATAAGAAAACCTGCTCTCTGCCGGCACACGATCACAACAAGTTCGTGTATACGGCTTGGTAGCAACTGACAGCAAATTCAAGAATGCGAACAAAGTGGAAGTAGCAATATGTGCAAAGGTGTGCGTGTAAACAACTCGTTGTGCTTGCCGCTGATGCCCTTTACGTATGCTGACTTCACTTTTCACTGCTCTGCCTACGGCTAGTTAGAAATGCCCGTAACAATTGTTATTGTACTGCTGTTATGCTTATCTTGTTCGTACGTACTATTTCAATTGTTGTATTAATTGATAGTTTGGTTTTCGTTTTGAATAGCTTAAATAATTAGTTTCTTATTTTTCTTCGCATTTTTTTGTTCACACTTAATTTTCTTATGCTTTTTAATATCAACTCAACTCAATAAGTTATTGACCTACGTCAACAAAGGTAAGTAAATAGCAATAGCGCAGATCGTTGCAAGAATTTATTTACGCTTTCTTTTGTTGTTGCTTTCTAATTATAGACACACATACATAGATATCTAAGCACTTATGTATGTACAGCGATTGGTTTGCAAACTTTTTGTAACACTTTTATCACTTCCGGTTTTTGCTAATTCATCAGCACTCTACTCTTATATTTTTCTTTTATTTCCAATTGCAATTTGTTTAATAATTTATTTACATTTATATCTACAATTCTGTTTTGCACACATTATTCACCACTTGGCTTACAATTGCTTTGCGCTGCTTTGGAATTTGTTTCTTTTTCCGCAGGTATGACTCAAACTAGAAATATATCAACGAATTCAACACAAATACACGCATACGCACACACAAAGGTAGGCGACCCGCATTCAACGCAAGCAAACACCTTCAAACCGCAACGACTTCTAAGAACAACAACAAAGTAAACACTACGAAAAAAAATTTCGTTCGTTGTGTTTTTCTTCTTGTTGTTGTTTGGCGAATGCCTATGCACTTTCGTTGCATTCACTTGCGGCGAAAGAAGCGTGTGCGCTTTTCAAAGTACTGTTATTTTCTCGTATGCGTAAAATATAAAATTATTTTGTTTCGTTTGTTATGAAATTACTTAATTATTTAAAATTGAATTTCATACTTTGCACATTTAACCAACTGTTTTCTAGCTAAATTTCGTTTGCTCACACATTGAACGCGACACTGTATGGCGACGCCGAGACACTAGCGCACCGATCGGGAATCATGCACGAATAACACTTATTATTTTACACTTTACACTTTCTCGTCCAACGGATAAAACTAAACTGAAACTAGTTTGACCACGGTTTCTTTGCTATAGCGGCCGCCACTAGTGTTGAGTAATTAATTAATAGATGGCATACTAGTGCTGTCTCTTTCGAGCGGAGTGAGTGACAAGTATTTGATGAGGCTGCCAATTGGTTGATTATTATTTTTTATACGAATATTAATTTAAATAAACATTTTCGTGCATCAAATCGTTTATTTTTTTATATGAAATATGTTGATTAACTATATGAAATAGTTAGTGTTGTCACTTGTAGGTGTTTGAACAATGTGTGTGAACTTTATTAAATGAACATCACAAAAATACGGCAATATTCTTTATTGCCTGCCACTTGTTGCACATATGCATATAATAATTATGAGCGAGAAAGAAGGCATATTTGTTTTAAAATGTGAATTGAGTGAATTCTTAAGGTTTTTGTCTATAATAAAAGTGTTTGAATTCAAAGAGCACAAAAAGAGTCCGTTATTTGGAACATATGATATGCAAAGAGGATGCAAAAAAAGTCCGTTAGGTAAAATAACTATATAGCAATGTAGTTTCTATTAAGGGGGAAGTAGCGATTAAATTGCTTAAAACAAAAAACTACATTTTCGCCATTTATTTTTGGGAGAAATAAAACGAGACACATAAACTTGATGTCATATACATATGTACAAATGTAAATACATATGTATGCTTAAAGAATTAAAAATAGACATTTACAATGTGAAACAAAAATTAATTGACTTTTGGTGGTTGCTGGAAGTCGTGTCACCGCTGACATCAGAATTAGCTCTAAAGATCACGACCGCAATTTTTATCTGAAATCATAAAATCAAACATTATTCCACTCGAGAGAATTTTCTTAAATTTCGAGAAGTTCAAACATTAACTATGAAAATGAGACTTAAAATAATTGGCTTTTAAAAAAAAAATCGATTATTCCGCATTTAAAAATTTTTTGTTATGCCCTCTAAAAACTACTCTTTCCGTAATTTCTAACGTCAATTTGAAAAACATGGTGTCAAACAAACGCCCTTTAAAGTGACGGCATATCTGTCACAATTTTTAAAATCGGCTTTATCAATTAAGACAGTAAAAAAAAACGTATTTGGCCACTTTCTTTCTTAAGTAATTTTATCAAAACCCGTCTTGCCAAAAAAAACCATTTAATTAAAATAATTAAGTTTTGAAGCACGGGGAAGAGTAAGCTAAGAATATTCTAGTAAGTTTTTAATCATTAAATCGCTCCCTTTATCTAATATGGGTTTCTCGTGATCACACCCTTCTACTTTGTGCTTTCAAGATTTTTTTTCCATTGGCGCTGACGTCTATTTTGAAGGTGATAATAACGATTTGTATTACAATATGTAAAAATATAGCTTTTTTGTTAAATCTGGTCAAATAGATCAGATGGTAATGTCGATAATTATAGATTGCGAAAAATTTTACCAAAACACTTTTTTACCTCGTGAATAAAACAAGTATTTCTTTGGTTATGAATGCTATTTAATTTTTCGAAATGATTTCATCATTAGTTGTTTGATTAATTGCGGGTTAAGTACTTATAAAAATAAATGGATAGTAATACACATGTACATAAATATATGAAATGCAATATTGAAAAGTACGTTGTACAAAATTTTAATGGTACCTATTATTATTTTTCTTTTATGTAAAATAAATAACATATGGTAATACAGGAGAAGAACGAAAACAAAAATAATACTTAAAACTTAGAAAAATTTAGCAATAAAATACTAAGTAAAAAATAAATAAATAATTTAGGAATTAAAAAAGTTAATTAGCAAGTATACAATGGCAGACAAATGTATTAATTGCAAGTTAAAAAAAACACTGCAAATTTGTGAGTAAAACGTTAAAAACCATTGTTGATTTATAAAAAAAAAATGCTTGAGTAAGATTGCGGAGAGTTTCAAGTTAAAATTTTTGCTACTTTTTTATATTTGTGCTTGAAACTTGCTTGCTGATATATTTTAATTTTTTTTTTTAATATATGAAATTATATCTAGCATTACAACAAACATATGCGTAGATGGCTTTGTGTAAATTTACGTTATGCGTTTACAAAATATTGCAACAATTGCCTTTGTATTGCTTTTCACTTGACTCAGTCTCTGACTTTTATTCTCCTCGAATTTGTGTGTGTTTAGGTCTGTGTTGTTGTATTTGTTTGTATGTGTGTAGATATAAATTTTCTGGTTTTAAGCTCCAACTCGTTCAAAACAAGCGAAATTATAATTTAAAACAAAAACAAATACACTACAATTTAAAAACGAATTTCAGAGCGTTTAAAATCCGGCCAACACGCCACTGCAGTCCAGCAGGCCCAAATCGAAATCATTCAAATACAATTGATCATCATAGTTAATATCGAAACTATTATTGCTGCTGGCCGGACTCGCATCCAGCGAATCCAGCGGTGACGTTTGTGACGCCACCAATGTCATCAAATCCAAATCTACGCCATCGGACAAGCCATTCAAAGCGGCGTCGATATTATGCGAGCTATCAGGCGTAAAGTTTAAATTCTCTTCGTCTACGTCACAAACACCTTCTCCTTCACCATCGTCATCTTCATCACTTTCCGCATCGCACTCTCCGTTGTCAGCAGTATCCCGATTTTCCACTGTTATCTCTGAACATTCCTTGACAGTTGCGTTCGATAGTTTCGACTCCGGTTGTACAATAACGGCGGCGGCTGCAGCTACAGCGGCAGTTGATAATGATGGTGGAGGCGTTGCAGTGTGCTTATCAGCTAACTGCCGACCCACCGTGGTCTGTGTGTGTGTGTTGGTTTTATGTGTGCGCATGTGATATTTCAATTCGAAATTAAACATAAATACTGCCATGCATATTTCACATTGAAATTTATTGCTAATATCCTGTCCTAGCTGCTGATCGTCCAGCAGCGCGAGATCCTCGATGTAACGTTGTTGGCGTGCCGCCTGTACGGCGTTACGTTGCCGCAAATACTTGAGCTTCGTGTGCTTGGTAGAGTTGCCACCAGCACCGTAGCTGGGCAATTTGGTGCGGATGACGACATCGACGTCGTTATTCGTCTGTTCGATTTCGATGCGATGTACGCCATACTCGTGCTTGAGCAAATGGAAGCGTCGGTCAAAGCACTTGCCTAAAATAAAATTATTAAGATTTTATAAATGTTTGATGTTTAAAGACAAATAACGGGTAAGCTTATGTACTAACCACAAAATTGGCACAAATGTTTGCGGTATTTATTGCCCTTTGGTATGAATTTCGATTCCGTGGCAACGCTAACATTTTTTGTGGGCGTAAGCTCTTGCATTTGTTGAGCGTTGATTCGTTGGAGTGGTATATATTTCACTGAAAGAGATATACAAAAAGGTAGCATTGAATATTTAAATGACCATAGAATACATCTGTGTCCCTCATTGATATTAAAATACTCTTGCAACATGTTGCTCAAGAGTATAATAGTTTTGTTCACCTGACGGTTGTTTGTATCACCTAAAAATCGAGTTAGATATGGAGTTATATATGTGTATATATGTTAATGATCAGGATGACGAGGCGAGTTAAGTTCCGAGTGATTGTCTGCCTGTCCGTCATCCGTCTGTCCGTCCGTGCAAGTGATAAATTTAGTAAACAGATGGGCAGAACCGGACCATTGCCACGCCTACAAACCCCATTAATCGAAAACATATAAAGTGCCAAAACTAAGCACATAATCACAATACGATTCAAGGCTGCTAAAAGTGCTATAAATCTATAACTAAATGCACCAGAGAAATAAAATTTTACAATCGGCGTTATAGGCGCCGGTGTCAAAATTGACGATTGCACCGCCCACAATTAGGTGAAATCACATAACTCTGGACTTTCGAAATTCGGAAAGAAATTTCCCTCGGCTTTGATCCTTGCAAGTTGCGAGAGTATAAAATGTTCGGTTACACCCGAACTTAGCTTCCTTACTTCGACAAGTTCAAACTTTAAATTAAAATTTCATATTTTCTCTAATAAATAACTTATTTTCTTTTTTATGACAAAAATGATCGTAGTAAGATGTGGGGAGCGTGCCTGTAACACATGCCCTTATATATGTCCTATTTGTCTAAATATTGTAAAAAAAAAGAATATTTACCAACTTGCTTTTTACATTCTGTTATAAGGTGAAAATAAAGCAGAGCTCGACTAGCGAATGTCTTTTAAGCGCTTCAACCACATTTTAGAACCCCATTGCGATCCCACAGTATTATCACAAACTAAATTTGAGGTTTAACCTCGCTGAGTACCAAGCCGTAGTATTCTCATATGCAACTGAGCCGTTAATAGCACCCCAAAGCTGTGTGAAATGAGTATACTCAATATAAATGAGCAGCCGGATAACATTCCTAACAGTTTTCTGTATGCTGTCGCCGAAATGATGCGGGAATGCGGAATGCGGGAAGCAATTACGCTTCATTTCTTACCGTTACAATGAATAACAGAGCACACCTCACTTACTCACCGCTTAAGCGCCGTTCCACCAGTACCTTGTGCTCTTTGGCCATATGCTCCAAAACATTTTCACGCGTCGAACTCTTAAACGTACACATGGTGCATTTGCAAAAAACTAGAAAAGATAATTAATAAAGTAAAAAGCAATCGATATCAAATTATTTATGAAGCGTGTATTTGCTACAATGACAAACCTTTGTGCGATTTTCGATGCTGTTGCAAGCCATCATAATTGACAAAACATTCTGCACATAAATGGCAATGATATTTGGGGCTCTCCGCTGCCGCGCCGACTCCTTGGTAACCGCGCGCGATATCGCCACCAACCCGTTCGGCACTTTTTTGATTGACTACAATAACAAAAACATTAATCAAATAAAGAAATGACGTCAAAATATATATGCATAACATAAATACGCATGGATACATATGTACATACGAGTATGTACTCGCAACTTCTGTAGTAAACAAATTTTTATGAATTATGATAAGAAAACAAATACATACATAAATAAACAGCTTTTACATAGATACAATATATGTATGTATATTCTTTGTAAAAATTATTCATACATTTCTTTTTTTGTGGTGACACAGTTCAAGAAACCCTATCAGCTGATAAGACTCCCTCAAATTTTTACCACTTACGCTATATAAAAAAATTAATAAGGAAGGACTTTGTGCGACGAAACCCAGATATTAGATATTATTATTTAGCTCAAAAATTGTGAAAAGTGTTGTAGAGTTAGCTCGGGAGAAAGAAAATACGCTTATGCTTCAAACAGTCACCGACATTCCTCCCTTCCGTACTTACCGCCCGCATCAAACCAAATTTGTCAAAAGTTATGCCCTTAGTTGCAACGCAGAAATCAGTTGTTCTCCAATGTTGCCATTGTTGTTGTATACACGATTTTTCACAAATTTAGTTTTTTAGTTATAATTTTTCATAATGTAAAAGCTCAATACTAAAATCCAATTATTAAAAGTAGTCTAACTATTTATAAATAAATGTATTCGACTGTGATTTTGAGTTATTTTAAGAATATTTCAAATATATTCAAGTTTATTTTTTAATGACTACAAAATATCGAGACTGGCAACCCTGCGTTGCAAAAGATTGCTCTCTCACTCTCAACTCACTCGCTTCTACGGGAAGAATCCAATTTTCTCGGATATTCTACCGTACGGTCGGTAGAAGCGGACGGTAGAAACGGTGGTGAGTGTTCATTTACATTGCGCTCTCATGAGATAGGTCGTATCAGCTGATCAGCGGTCCACGGTTTTGTGCCGGTGACTGTTTGAAGTATTATGCGTTTTATAAGAAGTAGCTATGGATCGGTATAAAAACAGTCAGAGCTTCGAGAATCATTATATTAGGTATTTGAGAACTAGGGAAAGTACTGAACCAGTTTTATTCAATTTTAACAACAGCTCTTAGTATTAAGAAGTAAAAAGGACATTACTTGCATTAAGATATTTTGCAGATAAACTGATATTTTCGATCGGAGGTACTCATATTCGGTATTTGGGAGGCTTCAAATGTATAGTTTGATTTCGAATATTTTTAGATGAGATTTGGCACTCCTTCAAACTATTAATGGTTTAACGATATCTTCATAGATGTTTGATTAATATACTTGTATTGTAAAGTGAAAGAACTTAAACCCGTAGTACCAAGGTGTTTTTTCATACCTGTGGTTTACTTTGCCATTTCATAATGAACAGACCTACTCCGGAACAACGTTGGCAAATTTGGCTAATTTATTTGCAAAATAATGGTTCGGTTCGCGCGTTGCATCCAATAATCGATCGTCATAATCGCCCAATAGAGTCGTTTAATGGCGCAACTGGGACCTCTTGACTGGAATTTACTCGAGCCAGCCGCAGCACTTGCCCGAAATAAGTTTTAAAACAAAATGGCAAATCCCTCTCTTTAGAACAAAGTTAAATTCTTGTACATAGAATTAAATGATATGCGTTTTATTTCTTTTTGAATACCACGTATCTAAAAAACAACCTGGGAAGTATGTGTGCTTGTAAACCGACTTATGTAACATAAAAATGTCAAACGAATATGCTCCAAGTTGGATTGAAATTGATCGAGTGGGGGCGGAGGCATAATATTTCACCTAAAACTGGGCGGTGAAAGCCCCATCGTTTCAGAGAAGTGTATAATAAACCAACTTGAGTCGGATCCATGCCTACTTATTCATTACTTAATAACCACAAATACCATCATGCCACCATATGAATTTATTCTAACTTCGTTTAATTTCTGACTTAGTTGTAGTACTTCATTTTTTAGTTAATGGAATTTTGTAGGTGTGGCAATAATCCGATTTAGATTTTGTCAAGTTGTCTAAATGTTTTCTCAAGTTATCATTTCCAGAGATAGATGGTGGCACAGACAGACATCCGGAGTTCAATTTGCATCATCTCTCTAATAATTTCGATATATGTACCTATATAACTCTGCATCTTTCTCGATTAATTTATTACATGGCAACTAACCGTTAGATGCACAAAACAATTATACACTTTGCAACACGATGCGATGTTATAAAAAAAAGTGGTGTTCCCAAAGTGTTAGTATTTAAGCAATATAACTTATTTATAGCGATTACGCGCTTCTGCTTTATATGCTGTGACTAGAAAGTGTTTCCTACCTTCTTGACCCTCCAAAACGCAGTGGTGTACATTACGCATATGCTGCGCCAGTAGAAACTTGAAGTGTCCAACGAAATTGCACTTGCGGCAACTGTGCTGTGGCGGGCCTGTTTGCAAATAAAAAACAAAACAAAACAAAAAGCAAATACAAAAACAAATATTATTGAAGTGAATGCATTCATTTATGTAGATTGAAGCGAAACTATGCGCCAGCAGCTCACCCAAATGTATTTGCAAGTGTTTGTTCAACTCCTGTCGCACGCTGCACTCAAATATGCAGAAACCGCATTTGTAAGTTGCTGACGGTGTGGTGGCAGCAGCAGCACCGCCTCCAGCAGACGCCTGCTGTCGGCCACTTCGATGGAAACGTTCGAGATCATGTGAAAGCGTTTCGGCGACCACATAAGTGTAGCCTTCATACTTCGCCAAATGGCAGCGTAACGGATACTCATTCGCGCTGCAATCGCTCGATTTGACAGAACACAAGTCTTCGTCAACTTCAATGCCACTGTCAAATGAGCGCACAAAGCTGCTCTCCACGCCGTCCAATGCTTTGCTAATGTCCAGTAATTCATCTGAAATTGCAAGAAAGAAAAGCAAATTGAGGTTGTTAGGTCATCACATGTTCATAATTGAAGTGGGTTGAAATGAAGTCGGTCTACATATATGAATATAATATATGTATATATTTCTGTATTCAGCATATTCAACAAATAATTTAATATGCATACAAGTATAAAACAGTTTATATTTGATTATCAAAGCTGCCAATTACTTAAGCGGAAAATGTTGCAAAAGGAAATGACTTTATAAATAATCGCTATGTACTCATAATTCCATTTCGTGCAAGTTAAACAGTATAAGTCCAAGTCCATTAAAACTGTGCAAACAAAACTTTAGTGAAATAATTGTCGACGAGCACCTCAATCCGCTATGCTCGTGATTATCGCGTTTATGGAGCGGAAGAAAGAATTTGCTAGACCTGCATCTCTTACTATAAACCAATATAGTTATTTTAATAAATAGTCTCAGTCTTTTCACAGTCAAGGCATAAATGCAGAAAATCCGATTTTTTTTTTTAATTAGCGCATACCGAGTTTAAGCTTCTTTCTTACTCTAATGCACTGGCAATTAGTAAACAGCTTTTTCTAATTTGAAGACAAAAAGAAGGTGCGTCTGAAGAATATGGTTTATGGGATAACAGGTCGTGTGGCCGGTGCATTATCGTGGTAAAAGAGCATTTTTTTCTTCGCCCAATAGAACCATTTATTCTGTCTCAATAGACCAACACTTTTCCGGGCAATAGGACAGTTTTCGCCTTCTTAATAGCAGGTTCGCCGGTCTAGTCCATTGTTTCGACCACATTTCGTCATCCGTCACAAAATTAGGCAAAAACTTCTGTTAAGTGGTGTGGTCGATAGCTTTTTCATGTCTAATATTTCATGAATGATATAACCCACGTTGTCTTTTGAGATATCTTTTGTCAAGTTACCCTATATGGGAACCGTTTTCAGCGCATCAGAAGTCTAAGAAAATTTAGTACATTTTTCTTGTGATTGTCGCGCAAATTTGACGGTGTGGCTAAACAGTTATCGGACCGCGGACGTATATTGATAAAATTAAATAACAGCACTTGATAATTACCATACTTTTATTTGATACAAACCCTTCCTTGACTTTGTCATGTATTTACATATTGGTCAATATAAATGGCAATGCTTTTTTTAGTATGTTGTCATTCGGTACCAGAAAGTAATGATATCCGTTAACTACTACTTTTTTATTTAATTGTTCAGATACGTATCCAATCCACATATTTGTTGAGAACTTTATTGACCGAATCTGTATTAGTTCCGGTTTCAGTTCAACTCAAGATTTCAAGCTTTTATGAATATAATATTATATTTCATATGAGAAATCAAGATCGACGAAATATTGCTTCCATAACACCGAAGAAGTCAGACATACAATTTTCAGGAATTGTTTGACTTGATGGTGATCGAACTTTGAATTGTAAAACGTAATATTGGAATTCTACGTCGCACATAAATTTGGGCGAAAATTTCTTATTTAATATAATATTTATTATATTCAATAGAACATCTGAATATCTATTGACAATTACAATGTTTATTAACATACAAATATTTAAAAAAAAAAGTTTATAAGTATCGTTTTTATACCCTGAATAGAGTATATTATGTTTGTCACGATCCAACACCCAAAATTAAACTTCGCAACCCTATAAAGTAAATATATAATATAAATGATCAACGAGACGACCAGAGTCGATTTAGCTATGTCCGTCTGTATATATGCGAACTATTCACTCAGTTTTTAAGACATCGACCTGAAATTTTGCACATGTATTTTTCTGACCAAGCAGCTACTAATTTGTCGGACCGATCCAACGCAAGTCTTTGCAGAGAAAACTTTTTTATTTGACTAGGTATGTTCATGAAATTCGGCATAGATTAATATCCTATTTGCCATAGATTATTTCCGAGGTATCACTTTACTATAGCATATAGCTAACATACAAACTTACCCATCAAACTCAAGTCCATGTATTGAAAATATTTTTATTTGACAAGTTATCGTCACGAAATTTATTTAGATTACGACCTTAGACATCGCTACAATCTCCGAAAATATTGATTAGACCGGACCACTATAGCATATATCTGCAATTTTAACTCACCGATCAAAATCAAGATAAACATCTTTTTATACCCTATATATTTATGCCATACAAAACGTATTCGTGAAGGTTATTATTGCTTCGCTGCAACCGTTTGTTTTTTCTTGTTTAAATTTCATTTCCTTCCTAGAACATAAGCCAGTAAGTTAAAAAAAAATAGAATTTTATGGCGAAGCATTAAAGAAATCCACAAAAAATTACAATTATAAGGTCGAAAAATTGATTTGATCACTGAAAAGCTGAAACATTGGCCTACGAATTTTTTTGAGTACGCAGAATTTTTAGATACTGACTCCCAACATGTTCTCAAACCTCAAACATCGCTAAATATAGCTCGGTGACAAGTACATACGAGTATGTATGTTAAACAAAATAAAAATATAAAAAATAAACAATTAAAAAAATGCTTTTCTTTGAAAAGATATGAACTTTTGCCTTATGATTCTTAAAAAAAAATTATTCGAAAGAATAGCGTAGTGTATCGAGCCTGCTTTTTAATAGTCGATTAATTTGAGATATTAGAGCACAAATTGAGAGTTGTTGAAATATGCCACCAAATATACAATATTTTTCGATAAGAAAAAGCTGCATGTGTGAGATATTCTATTCAGCTCAATTTCATAGAAGAATATTTTTGATAAAACTGCAAAGAAGCACATAAGTAGATCAACAGCAGTAATTAATTAATTGACAACAAACGAACGATATACATGTATGTATGTATGTATGTAAATATACAAAAATGCATAAATAACGGTATCAAAGCAAGCATGATGAATAAAATATCGTTTGGAGGGAAGAGAGACAAATTAATTAATATGAATGGATTTCGTTGTTGAACTGTGAATCACTATTTACACTAATAATCATTTTTTATTGCTATTGTTGTTGTAGCAAAGCTTAGATGTGGTTATAAAAGGAGTATATAAAAATAAATTTATTTTTGTAGATTTCGTCTAGGGTACACTAGAGTCTAGTGGGTTGGCAGATAAATATTTATAAGTGAAATTGTGTGCGGTAGCTGACTTTTTGAATAAATGGTTTAATTTATTTCAAGCATGATGCCATATGAAGTACAATTTGTGTTGCCTTGAGTGTGCAGACGTTTGTTTTCAAATCTGGATTTGTTGCTTTATCGGAATGCAGAGCAAATATGCTGCAATTGTACTTGAATGTGGGCATATACAATACATACGTACATATGTACCAGTACATACTACGATTATATATTATATACATGCGATATACACTTTTTGAATTGTATTGTAAGCTTATGCATTAGAAATGGCATTCGAGTGCATTGATTGGTGTTGTCCGGCACATTTTTATCAGCAATTTCAGTGGAGAATGCAGCGAAGAAGGAATTTAGAGTGTTCTTTTAGTATTGTTGCAAAATTTCACACACATATTATAAAATTTATTATACCCTAAACAGGTTTGCATGAAGTTTGTAACACCTAGAAGCAAATATGTATATATACAAATATATATAAATGATCAGCAGGACGAGCTGAGTCGGTTTAGCTATGTCCGTCTGTCTCTATATACGCGAACTAGTCCCTCAGTTTTTCAGATATCGATCTAAAATTGTGCACATACACATTTCCAAGAAGCTTCTCATTTGTCGGAACCGCTCATATCGCACCACTATATCATATAGCTGCCTTACAAACTGAACGTTCAAAATCATCTCCTTGTATGAAAACTTTTTAATTTGTGAAGGGTATTGATTGATTAATTTTGAGGTATGCACCGCGACCTACGGTCTATTGTGCCCTCCCCTAAGTCATATCGTGTCATCTAGGCCCAGCATATTGATAAATTCCAAAATTCTGCTGGGTGCTAGTGAGGCGATACAATCCCTGTGTGGAAACATGGATCCCAGGGCCTTGATTCTGCGTCTGCAGACTGCTGTGCAGTTCATCAGCAGATGTTCGGGGGTTTCCGGCTCTATGTCGCAGAACCGGCAGTTTGCAGAAGAGGCTATGCCCATGTTAAAGAGATGCTTCTTGAGCCTGCAGTGGCCGGTGTAGAACGCTACCAGTAGCCGGAATTTGTTTCTTGGGAGATTAATTATGGCATTGAACCGCTTGAGGTCGTAACCCCCCATTAGCAGTCTGGCATGGTGCATGCCCTGGAGTTGTTGCCAGTGTATCTCCCTGTCTGATCTTTCCTCCCTGCGGAGGAACTCTTTGATGGTATGTGGACCAACCGCTAAGTATGGTTCCGGCCCTACCATTCTTGTAGAGGCTGCAGAGCGAGCTAACTCGTCGGCTAGTTCGTTCCCAGCTATACCCCTATGGCCGGGCACCCAAATAAGGTGCACTCGGTTGTGCTCAGATAGGCTGTTCAGCCGTTCTATGCACTCCATCACTAGGAGAGATCTGACCTCATAGGCATTGATCGCTCTTAGTGCCGACTGACTATCGCTGAGTATAGCGATACTTTTATTGCGATAGTTGCGCTGGAGATTTATTCCTACACACCGACTTATAGCATAGACCTCGGCTTGGAATATGCTAGGGAAACTTCCCATGGGAATGGAGAGTTTGGTGCTTGGCCCAGCGACCCCTGCACCAATCCCTTCCTCCGTTTTCGACCCGTCGGTGTACCACTTGATGGTGCAACCCTTTAGCAGCTGGTCTAGTGCAGAGTCCTTCCACTCAGATTTGCTGCCAAGGGTTACTTGGAACTTCCTGCTGAAGTTTACTACTTTGGTAATGCTATCCCTTGGGAGAAGGGCTAGTGGTATTTCCTCACTTAGCTCTTTCATCTGCTGGGATGAGATTACCTTCCCTTTGCCAGCTCCCTCTGCTGTCATTTGGAGCAGAGTTCGTTTGGCTGTCTGTTTGATTACCAGGTGTAGCGGTGAAA